TGTTAAAAGTGAATAAAAATTAAAATGAATATTACTAGAATTGATTAGAAATATTCATAATCAAAATTTAGAATTCCTCAACCAAACATCCAAGAATAGTAAAATATTAAAACTAATTTTATTATGAAGGTTTACTTTGTGAATGATGCTTTTTTAAGGCTTAGTTAGGAGAATCAAAATATTATTTTATAAACAAATTATAAATTTAGGGTTTTCAGAGTAGAGTTGCATATCAATTTTGAGGGGTAAAATTGTGTGCGCGTTAAAAATTTAAAATTAAGGTTAAAGTGCATAATTAAGAAAAAAAATAAATTAGGGAATAGAGGAATGTTATACTTTTATTTTTTAATAAAGTTAATAAAGTTATTAACTTGTGAAATAATAAAAAGAAAAAAATTTAAAATACTATAAAAAATATTATATTATTTAATTAAGTTATCTTGTAATTAAGTTTTATTTTATAATCGGACGGTTCATGTAGTTTAAAGGTAAAATTACAAACCAAACGAATTATGTCGGTTTTGAAATTTTATAATTTAGACCAATCTAATTTTATATCGAATTGATTTTGTTTTTAATTAGATTGGATTAATTTGGGTTGAACCAATCGAATTGAATTAGATATGAACACTCTTAGGAACAGCAACTTTTAGGTACTCTTTTTTTACTCTCTCTTATATACAGTAAGAAAATCTAATTGTGTAATAAACCTCTCCTCTTAGGTCTCCTATTTTCTTGTGAAGCCTCCCTCTTTTTCCTTTTCTATTGCTTCTCTTGTCACCAGATCCTAAAGCATACGGTCATTGTAGTTTGATATAGTGGAGCTATCAATGGGAGAGAACTATTGATAACTTAAGTGTGTGCTTTCCTTAAGAATTTGACAAAACAATTGAAAATGTCTAGTAGTTCAAGATGCCCGTAAGGACTTTCTTTTATTTTAGTAACTCTGTTTATGCTCTTATAGTGAATCTAGATGGAGATGGCTTTTTATACTTAATTATTTATGTTTATCATTAATATAGTTTAAGTTTGTATTTAATGTTAAAGGATATACTTATTTTTTCTTTTGATACATTAGAAGTTAATTGCTTGGGGTTGCAGAGGTTGAAATCCTTGACTTTAACCTTAAATTAAGGTTTTTTACGTTAATAGGTATTTTTTTAGCTAGGATAATGATTGGTAGAGCTTCCAATTTAATACTCCTAACAACATTCACTGTTTTTGTCATTAAAAGACTAATATTTTTAAATTTGAATTCAATGCAGAACAATTTTAAAGATAAATTTTAATAATTGAACAAGTATATATTATTAGATGTGTTGAATCGAGAGGTATTCTAATTATTTTTCATTAAGCTAAACTCTCATTGATGGTACTATAAGATACCCTTTGCCTATATATACTGTAATATAGGGATCATATATAATCTTGATTTATTTATTTAATAAAATCTTTATTTCGTATAAAAGACATTAATTTTTTTTATTGTTTGATGATGAATTTGAGTTTGACTTTCTTTTAGGCCATATAAGTATTTTTTTTTAAAATCTTTTTTTTTTTTTTTGGCTGTCATGTGGCAAGTGTGCTTAGGAGTGTTACTTGTTTTGTAGAACAAATAAGAAAATAACTTTCTTTATGACCTACCATATATTGAATAACCAGAAGAACCTCAGTTTAATAAAGACATGTGCTCCACCCAAAATGGAAGTGCGAACACCTTTAGTAAATCTATGAAAAGAGTCCGCATCGGATTTTGGGCCAAAATGCAATTTGGCCAAAAATGGCAAATGATAGTATTGGTTCCTCACTGTTGATTTTTTGTGCAATTTAATCCCTAAATTTCTGATCTATTCAGCTTGGTCCTAAAAATATCATATCTTTCAATTAAGTCCTTTATTGCAAAAAACAACAAAAATAAATTACAATCTTATGAAACTCATCCAAATGTCAATAATAGCAAGAGAAAAAAATTTTTACATTAATATGTATGAAATTTCAACTCATTAGCTACCACTTTTCAAAAGTTTTCAATTAAAGATATGATCTTTGCAATTTTACTAATCAAGACTATCACATTTCAAATGTTTGTAATCAAAAATATGATCTTATATATTTACTTAATCTTTTTTTAGAAAAATTATAAATGTCGTATCCTTAATTTCAAATTTTTAAAAGATAGTAGCCTTAAATATTACAAAAAAAAGTTATATACTTAATTAAAAAAGTTTTTAAAGATTATTTCCTTGTTTACACCAAAACTCTTGCAGAAGTCATCAGGATTTGACATTTTAAAGTTTAATTTAATAATATATTTTGTCTAATATATGCTTTATAAATTAAAAGTATAATAAATATATATTATTATTAATGTATATAAAAAATATAAAAATTAATTTTTATTTTAATATTATTATCACGTAAATAATTTTAATTAAATTAATTAATTAAATAAAAATAAAAATTTATATTTTTTTTATAAAAATCAATTATAAAAAATATAATTATAATACTCTTAATTTGTGTCTTAGAAATATAGTTAGATAAGTCATTAACAATATTCTTTTTCTTTTTGTGCAAATCATTTGCAATATTCTGATGTGTATACTTTTGAAGACAAAAACTGAAAAGAATGATTACGTTAAGGGACCGAGATAGATCACCTAGTTGGGTGTTTTTTGTCCTTTTTTAAATAGGCAATGATAGATGGGTGATCGATAACAAGAAGTCTTCACTGCCTTTTTTTTGTTGAAAAAAAAAAAAAAAGGATAACAGGAAGTCTGAATTCTATAGAATGGCCGAGCGCTGAGATTCAGACCTCGATGAATGATGGTTAGGTCCTTGCCACTAATGCGAGATACAATAATGGTGTTGCTTTTGACGTGATGTCTCCAAGTCAAATCGCGCGTGCCTTGGCCCTGTGTGGTTACGAACGTTAGTAAAATTGTTAAGGTCTTTAAAATAGTATTAAAAAATATTAATTATGTTTTATTTATTATTAAA